TTTCATGAGAGGACCAAACACATCGAAGTGGATTGCCATTATATAAGAGAAGCTGTAGATACAGGAGTCATTACTCTTCCACACGTGTCCAGCGATCTTCAAATGGCTGATGCGTTTACAAAATCCATGGCACGGCAACGCCATCAGTTTCTAGTAGGCAATTTGATGCTTCTTGATCCACCAGCATCAATTTGAGGGGGGATGTTAGCATGATGGACAACTAAATGATTGTATATATTAATGTAATTATATAGTGATATAAATTAGCATGACCATATACATTTGTTGTAGAATCAAAGGAATAAATATTGTGATAGAATAGCTGATTTGGAGGGATAGCAATGTAGATTTAGAGGGATTGAATAGCAGATTTGTAGAGATAGAATAGCTGATCTTTAGGGATAGGAATGGCGGATCTTTAGGGATGTGTAATCTTTATTTTCTCTATATAAAGGAAAGACTCTCACTTTGAGAGACATTCAGCAGAAAATTGACAATCTATACAAACAGCCAAAAAACAAACTTATCTAGTAAATACAACCAGTAATTTGTACAATTTGTGAAGATTCAGATGAGAAGATCCAAAAATGTGAGGTAGGTTCATTATTCAAAGAGGTGAGAAGTGGAAAACATTACCTTAGAACACCTATCCCATTTTGAATCTGGTGAGTAGCTGAAGTTTACAGAGTTGTGAGGAGACATGCCGCTGTAGAGAAGTGTTGTTGTAGACGGCGGAGAAGTGCTGTTGTAGTGAGAGAGTAATTTGGAAGGAGTGAAGTTTCCAAAAGTTGTGTTTATTTTGTATTTTGTAATTAAATTAAAAATAGCTATTTATTAAATTACCTATTTCCAAAAGATGCGAGTGTCTTTTATTTCATGGATTAAAAATATATATTTTATATTTTGAAATAAAAATTGTATTTTGAGATAGCAGGTGTTTAAACCCCCGGTATTTACTTAATTTTTTTGGGGGGGTTTAAAATCCCCGCTGTTTACTTTTATTTTCCGTCAGCTACCAAACCCCCGTTATTTAATGTAATTTGTGGGGGTTGCAGCTAACCTCCGCTTTGAAACCCCCACGATTTAGGTGTTTTTTTGTAGTGAAAAGTTGAAAAAACTAGATAACTCAGCAAACATAGCTAGTATATTTATAATACATTGCTATAGTTTTCAAATATTACCTAACATTATACTTGGAAAAGGCTCGAATATGCCATCTAAATTTGAGAAAATGCTCATTTACGTCATCTGTTAAAGTTTGGCTCATCTATGCCATTTTCGTTTGAGAAAATGCTCATTCATGCCATTATTTATTTACTGAAATGACATAGATGAGACAAACTTTAAACGAATGTCATAGACTAGCCCTTTCTCAAACTTCGATGGCATAATTGAGCCTTTTCTTTTTTTTTTTAAATGATTTAATTAATGACATGGTTGAATCATAATTGACCACATGTAAAAAATGGTTTTGCAAAACCAAAACTTCTTTCAGTTAACAAATAATGACATGGATGAGCCTTTTTTCAAACAGAAATGGCATAGATGAGCCCAACTTTAAACGGATGGCATAAATGAATCTTTTCTCAAAGTTCGATGGCATATTTGAGCCTTTTTCCTTTTTATTTTATAGTAAAGCCACACAAATTTCACAATAATTCGGTTTAGGGAATGTTCAATGTGGTGATCGCAGGAAAGTAGATAATTGATACATGTATTTAATCTTCTTGATTTTGAAGAATATATTCATGGTAAGGTGCAGAGGACAAGATAGTATTGACTATATCAGATGTATATACAATAGATTAAAAACGGCATAATACATAAATATGTCATTTAACTTGGATTCATTTCAGATTTATGCCCTTCAACTTTGGGTGTGCTCAAGTAGGCACTTTAACTTGTATAAAGTTGAACAAGTAGACACATGAGTCCTACGTGGCATAATATACATAGGATACCATGTAGGATGAAAATTGCCATGTAGGATGTCACATATGACACGTGTGTCTATTTGTTCAATTTTATATAAGTTTAAGTGTCTACTTGTGTAAACCCAAAGTTGGAAGATATAAATGTGAGTTGATGTCAAGTTAAAGGGCATATTAATGTTTATGCCGATTAAAAACATGTATCAAATGTATTCAACTCTTCTTTGCTTCTGAATAATTTTTTTCTTCAAATATTCTTGAGCTTGTACATATGTGAATCTGTGTTTTGTTGATGATTGATACATATGTGTATCTATGTATTTTTAAGAAATCATCACCAACTTAATTAATATTCGAGACATTTCAAAGAAGAATCTAGAATATTCAAGAGTTATAAAAAAATAAAGGAAGATCTCTAGAATGGGTATTCTAGAGAGAAAAGTCTAGAGATGTTCTAGAAAAGGTAGTTCTAGAAATAGGAAGTTAGAAAAACATTCTAGAATATAGTATCAAAACCCTTAGCTAGCTAGATTCTTCCATCACCACCCATAAATATGTTAGGATTTGAAACTTTAGACAAAAAGATAAGGCTCAGCTGAGGTAATTTTCATTCATATTCAAATTTCAAAAGGCATACATACATATATCTACATAAGCTTTTCCAAAGTTAATAGAGGACCATACATATCCAACCACTATTGACTTTCTTACAAAACATATTCCATAAAACAAGGACTACCTTTCCTTTACATACTTAACATAATATTTAAGAAAATAACAATTAAACAAAAACCATCTAG